CGAAACCTGCCAACCTTTTACCTTGAGAAAGGCTCATGGGACACTGACCGAATCGTCGGTATCCGTCAATCATCCAATTGAGCATATGATCATTTTTATACTGGCGGCATAACCGTGGTATATGCTGCTTTTCAAGACGCATTCTAGGGTAAGCAACACTGGTAACCACGGAACGAATGAAGAATTCTCAATTGATAGTATAGACTAGTCTCTTTATGCCATCTATGCGCCATTTTACCTTTATAATAGCGAATTTTCTATTGAGCATATCCGATTCGATCGTCTGGACGTCACACATTTCATGACCATTGATAATCGTTCACAATTTTTGACCATTGGTAAACGGATGTTATCGCTCACATGTTTGTTTCCTTCTCATATCTTTTGCCTAGAGGTGATCAATCAATCTGCACTTTCTTCACCAAGCAGGTTCACACTAGAAATTTTGATTGATTAAAGCTCGCCGTTGACACTGTGTAATATGACATTTACCGTGATACACAGCTATGCACTCTCATTGTTGTGCAACCAGTATGTTTAATCCGCAATGCATCCGATTCACAATCGACCGATTGAGGTTCGAATCCTGATCATATCACCAGCTTACCATCTTTATGAGATAGATAAAAGCGCAACAACATTTTATGGGAAGAAAACGGAAAATCACAGGTTGCCGTTGGCACATAGAATCTCTAAAAACGACGCACACCGACTACTAACTGTACAGAAACGAAGGTTTGAGTTAATGACAGAGCTACGTCGCAAATGACATCCGTACAGCAGTGACTAACATTCCAACGATCATAAGCTTCTTTCAGTGTTATAGAAGAGAACTGCTTTTGAGACCGCAAATACAGTTGAAAATATACGAGAATGACAGTTCACGATATTCTGAACATGAGGCAAGTTTACCACGTTAAACACAAATAGAAACGACTTGTCGTGCAACGTATGTAGGCAAGGTCATAATGAATGGAGTGAAGCTCAGAACCCCTGTCACTAGAAGAGCAGGAGTTCTACTAATCTAAGCATGCCCTTGACAAAGCAGATAACTTTAAGCGACTGTTTATGCAAGTTCGCATAAAGTTCATGGATAATGATGATGCCCAAATAGCGGGTCCCAATATGATCAGATCAGCAGAGATTTGTCCCACTGTTATGTTAGTAGAGCTGTCAAACCTAAGACTGAACACTCTCGAATATGAACTATCATATTTTCGCCTTAGCCTGCGTCTTTCGGTTTGGTACTCAAATGTCAACAAACTTTTAGAAGCTGCAATGGTAGTCTTGCTAAGATAAATGAATGATTGAAAAAAATCGCTGTGTTTAAGCCAAGCAGAAAAATTGGGATCAGCAGATATACACTTTCGTAGCGGCCTCAAGTGACAAGAACTACGAGTGCAATTTGTTGGTGGACAACTAAGCTAATAAGGTTGAAACTGACCAGAGTATTACTCAATCCGAGGAAACTGTTCGCCAGATGATTTATTTACAACGGCCATTCAACAAGAGTAAATTTCGACCAGCACAGCATGAAAAGCAATGGATCAAAAGCATCACTGTATCATCAACAAAGAAGAACGCGCAAATCATTTACTAAGCGATTTCCAGACAGGCAGAACAGATTTCTTAACTACGGCGATCTGCTACTCTAAAAATCATAAGCGATTCAAAAGTTCAAATCAGAGTGGGTAGTTAAGCCTTCTTTCAGGATTAACATCCCAAGGTCGATGCCCCCATGCGAGGAACTTTTGTTCTTTAAGTATTTTGCGCATAATAATCCGTCTTCCTGATGGGCAACCGATACGTCTTTCGATGCTGAACTTCTTCAACGTAATCGTGGGATTGAACTGAAAAAAGACAAAAATCATCCTATTGTTCACAATTTAAATACCTTTTTGTATTTCCTACTCCACCGAGCTGGCTGTAGGAAAGCTGGACCAGCCTCCAAAAACGGCGTTAGCAAACCACCAGCGATTCGACACAGAAGACTCATTTACTGAAAGGATAATCTATAACCTTTCATGCTAAAGCGTCGTATCCAAAACCCACCGAAATTGCTGAACTAACGACAAAGCAGAGCACCAGTTATCGTAAACAATAACGACGAATCTGAAACCTTCACGGATCTAAACTTTCTCGAAGTGTCCGCGTTACTAACAAAATCCGTGAAAAATAAATCATTCCGACAAAACAACAGAAACCAGTCAAAAAAGT